AAATGGTCTTCACAGTTACGATGGGCATATATTTCAAAAGGCAACCTCTTGGGCCCTCTCTCTTTCTTGCACGCGCACACACACACACACACGCACACGGTGGGAACACTGTTCAGCCGCTGAGCTGGGCTGGCTCATGTCAGGTAGTGCACCACGAGGACCATGACCACACAGGTGAGCAGCATGCCGCCGATCATGAAGTACCTGTCCTGGAAAGCCTGCTTCTCGATGAGCCTCATCACCGTGTTGGACAAGCCCAGCATGTTGGCAATGTCTACGATCTTTTTCTGAGTCCCCTGGGGCAGACAAGAAGAGGAGAACCAGGATCAGCTGGTTTTGCCAAGGGTAGGTGAATGTCATCATGAGATGGGGCCCAAAGCATATAAAAGGCAACATCAAGCAGAAACAGACCCACTCTCATAGGGTCGACTGATTCGTGATCAAAGTGCCTCAGCAATCCAAGAGGGAAAGAAAAGTCTATTCCACAAATGGGGCTATAACAACTGGCTTTATAATAATATAGCAGAGATAAGTATTACGTATATATACTACATACATACATACATATGCATGTGTGTGGAAAAAATAAACCTTGAGTCATATTATACACAAAAATTAGAGATGCATCATAGAATCAAACATAAAAGTTAAAACTTTAATAAAACTTCTAGAAGAAAACATAGGAGAATATCCAAAAATTGGACACCATCCAGGTGGCCATCAGCAGGTGCATGGAAAAACAAATTCCGGTATGTCTGCACAATGGCATACTCCTTGGCAATAAAAAGGACTGACTTTCATCAACAGATAACCAAACAAGTAACAATATGAGTGAACCTTGAACACCACAGGAAAAAGCTAGACACAGAAGAGTAGTATGAACCCATTTATATGAAGTTCAATAATAGGCAAAACTAATTTAGGGTAAAATAAATCAGAACAGTGTTTGCCTGAGTGTGCGCGAGCATGCGCATGTGTGTGGTAGAATGACCGGGAAGGGGATGGTGGATCTTTCACGGGTGACGAGAATGTTCTATATATTGACAATAAGGTGGGTTACACAGGTGTATGCACTTGTCAAAATTCATTGAGCTGTACAAATAAGATCTGTGCACTTCACTGTATATAAATTATACCTCAATAAGAAAATTTTAAATTAGAATATTTTATAATAAAGATAATATCTAAAAACTTTCTCTCTGCTCCCTAGCTCCAATAATCCTTGATGCCCATCTGTTCACTTTGTAGCATGAATGATCCTTGGGGATTCCACTGAGTACCACATGTGGGCCAATGTCCGTGTTCACGAAAGGGTTTGGAGTGAGAAAGACAGAAACATGACTGACAGACACCAACACAATGACCTAACACCCCTTTAAATAAACGCACCACCCACCACCAAAACAAAAGGCTATTCTGCTCCGAAACCAACAGCCCAAACCATCCATCCTGCCCTCCCTACTGCTTTCTAACTTTTATTTTTAAGCGGATTCGATTTCTTAGGAGGTAACAAATATAAATGAATGCTGGAACCAACCCCGAGTTACTTGCTTAAACACACATCACCACCTGCACTTGTACAAGCAGCATCTAACCTAATGCCCCACCAGCCATTTCTTTAATGAAAACACATTAATGAGCAACCGGGAGCAGAGGCCAGAGAAGTGAGAACACGAAGCATCACGGACAGAAACTAAAATCCTGTTCTGCCCAGACAATGATTAACAAGCCTCGCTGGGAAAGATCTCCCTCAGGTCAAACTTTATTGCTGCTGGAGGAGACTAGAGAAATATTTTTTCCGATAGTGACAGTAAAAATTATATTCTCGCTAAAGATTCTGCTTAGGTCTGAAAACACAGATTATTTCACCACTGTATGAGGTCCAAGGCCCAAGCTTCCAGGATCACCTGGAAATTACCATAAATTTAAAAAAAAAAGTATTCATTTTCAACCACAAGTTGGGCCAATTAGGGCTACTTCAGCCCAGCTCCCTGATATCAGCTTTCCTGATAGAGGTGGGGTGGAAGAGGGCTGGGGAGAATCAAGAGACAAAAGACAGGTAGCAGCAGGTATGCTGAGACACCTGAATTAGAAACCTCAAATTTCAACCCTCAACCACCTCAAGGAGCTTCCCAGCATGTGCCCTTGACAACAGCGCAGGTGGCAGAGGTTGCCGGGACTTCTCAGTGATGCCAGACTTTGGTGTGGAGCTGGCATCTGCTCTAACAGTGAGCTCTACCCGCACTGGGTCTACCTGAATGTGACATGGGAGTCTTGTCCTAAAAGGATTCTACTGTTTTTCTGAGACAGGAGAAGGAGGACAGTAGTTTTCTAAAGAAACGTTCAATCGATTAATCGACACGTATCATTTAGATCACTGTGGGTGCCTGCTCTGAGAGGGTGGCATCCACATGGCCGTGGGAGACCACATTCTCAGGCCACTCGATGCACTGTGACCATCAGCGGAGGCCAGCACCCCCTGCGGCTTGCCTGACCCTCTCCCTGGTAAAGATGGCAGGAGCTGCTCAGAAATGTCCTGAAGTCCAGCGGAGCTGACAGGCTCACCGTGGTCCAACAAAAACTAAGATAAAGCTCACACTTCCGCGTGACTGTTTCTCACAGCTCAGTGGCTGGGAGTGCTTCATTCACAGGGGACCACACCCTAATAAGAGGCACAGCCCACACCCCATTATCCAACAGGGCTGATACAGAAAAAAGGCTCAGGCTGAAACATCATAACTGACATCAGAGTCTGTGTAATGTTTCTGTAAACCTCTCCCAGGGGGTCTGAGTCTCAGCAGTGCCAATGGGCGGGGCTTCTAGGAATACGCTGGGGACCTCCATGTGCTTTAGGACCTCTGCTGCTAGTCAACCAGGGTGGCCCTAAGCCCCATCCCCGGGGACTGCTACTGAAGGAAAAAATGTTCTGTTCTGAGGCAGTCCACAGTAGGGGCTCTGAGAGAAAACCACCTTAGAGTGAGGCACCCAAGCACAACCACATTTTCGTTCTTGTGAAACTCGATTCTATAGCCTTTCTCAATCTATTACTGGTTCTTCTCACAGTAGTAGTACTTCCATGAGAAGTTCAGTAAATGGAAAAAGACCTGGATACCAAGACAGGCCATATGCTGGTTCATTTCAGCACAAGACATACTACTGGCGAAGGGAATCTGGTTACTTTTGGGTTCATAATAATCCAACTCCAACAAGAAGGACTCCAAACTCCAGGGCTCTGACTCACCATCACATCACAATGTGGGCTTACATAACCAAAATGGAAACACAAACTGCTGGAGGAGGCCAAGATAAGAGGCCTTCTCCCTGTCCCCCAGCAGGGACCCCACCTTCAAGGTCAGCCTCTGGGCCCTCAGTCTCTCCAGAATACTGTGGCCACCTGCAATGAGGTCATCCATGCCGTGGTGGACTTTGTAGAGGGAGGAGTTAAACTGCAGAGACTCATCCATTGGTATGGTGGTGTCAGAGTCCTGTGAAAAAAACGCAGGGGCTTGATTAACTTTGCTTGCTGGTCACCTCCTCGAGTCCCTTCTGACTGCCTGAAGTCAAGCCAGTAGAACAGTCACAAGGAAGAGTGCAAGAATCAAATGAACCTAAGATAAGAAAAAGCAAAGATCTGGAATGGCTCTGTCTGCACAGAGGAAGAGGAAATGTTCAGACTTATCACTCCCTAAATAAATCCTGCTGCACAAGTCTGGGGGCAGTTTAGCAAAGACTTAGGGAATGGCGTGTCCTGAGGATGGTAGGAGGTGGAAAGATGACTACTGTTATAAAGTGGAGGAAGTATATAGTGGGCTAGGGAGTTAGAGACCAAGTCTGTGAGGACAAGAAGATACATATAAAACCTGGGATAGGACTATGATCAGAGTTATCAATAAGAAAGGGGTGAGCTCAAGAGGGCACCTACTTTGGTGGTGGGTTTTAAATGAGAGCAGACCTCAAGGAGCAGAGCAGGGGTGTGTGGGAGATTGGGATAAGAAAGCTGAACCAGAAAAGGGGGAGAAACCGGACTAGTGAACTGGGGGAGGTTTGCGTGGTGCATTAGGATTGCCAGAGGGGTTGAGGGGTGAGGATGAGACGTGTTAGGAGGAGGCAGAGGGATGTGGCCGAGACCGCGGTTGGAATTGGGCTAGAGGGAGGTCGGGGGTGAGGCTGCACTCACGCAAGAGGCATGGGGTAAGAGCGGGAGTCAGATCACGGGTGGGAGAAGATGGAGGGGACGGCCCTGAAGTGGCAATGCAGGCCGAAGGCTGGGGTCGGAGTGGGGCGGACTGGGCCAGGGGCGGGGCGCGGGACTTGGGCTGGGAAAGGTTGGGGTATCTGAAGTCGGACAGTCTCAAAGCAGCCAGGATTTGGGATCACGGAGAGAGCTGGGGGCCCATCGTCCGCTTGCATCTCAGCCCCGCCGCCCTTCAGCTGCCCTCCTCGCCCCCTTACCCCTGACTCACCAAAGGGAGCCGAGAAGGGGCGGCAGTTACTCCCGTCCGCTGCAGTCTCTCAGCCACTAACCGGAAGCTGCAGCCTCCCGGCCACTGACAACAGGAAGCGGCGCCAGCGACGTCTAAACGCCATCTCGTTGGCTGGGCTCTCTGGCCCCGCCTCCGGCCCGCGGAGCCAATCGTGGAGCCCGGTCGGGTCGCGGGGCGGGGCCAGTCGCTATACGCTGCCGACTATTCTCAGCCTCAGTAGCAGAAGCTGGGTCTGGAGGCTCGAACTGTAACTTGGCGCCCGCCTCCCACAGGGTCTGCGTAGGATCTTGGGTTCTGCGTTCCTGACCTCGCTCGGCCTCTGCACCATCTGCGTCACCTTGAAGCCATCACTTCTACTCCCGCAGCCGCAGGCTGCCCACTTGTAAAATGGGACAGTAATGCTGTTTCTGCTTTTGCCTCCTGGAGGGCACCAGCGCATCCCGGCATGCGGAGCGGGCTAAGTTGGAATCTTTCCCCGGAGGCTCGCAGGGAAAACATACATGTTATGACTACACCTTATGCCACGGGAGCGTCCTGAGGTCCCCTGGGCGCTCTTCTGTAGTCCGCCCGTCCACTCCGCTAGGCGCAAAGCTCAAGGGTCCGCTCATTCTCATCTAGCCATGTAGTTAGTTGTTTTCTTTCCATCGTAGAATGTGACATTTCTCTTCCAAATGGACTCAGAACAAAATATCAAAAAGTAGCGACCGTAGCGAAGTGTTGTCAAAGCCGCGTGCTTTTGGGCACCTTACCTGGGCGTGTCTTGGTCAAATGGGGGCCTGAGGGCCTGAATATGAGCCGGAAACGGGGGCGGTGGTACCGCTACACACAGTGGTGCCTGGGGAACTGCGCAGTTCTTGTGAGCGTGCTCCACTGACTTTGGCTGAGGTCCTAAACTCCGTCAGACTCTCCTGGAAGGAAAGTGACACACACACCTCTGGAGAGGTCGGGGTCCCAGCCCTTGCCTCCATTCTAATGCCGCAGTTGGGGGTCTGGCCACTTACTGCGTGGAGCGAACTGCCCCTTCAGTAATTGCCTTTCCAGGAGTGAGAACCGCCTCTCCTCTGTTGTAGGCTGGATGGGTCTGAGTGCATTCCAGAGAATTAATGGTTAATGTATGAGCAAGATTAGGGGTGAGGACAAAGAGACAAAGTATTCCCTTGGTGCTAAACTAATTAAGCAAGGTGGCAAGTAAGATTTAGTTGTGAAATCCAGTTACTTTTGGCGAATGGATAGTATTTCTGGCGGTAATTTGTCCCGTGAGAGCGTCGGTGACTTGGCACAAGCATGCTCTCCCCTCAAATCGAGCACACAATGTCCTCGATTATTCCATTCCCCTCACCCGCCCCCCGCAGGGCTGTGAGGGAACCCCGCGGAGTAATCTTTAGTGTACCGGTTTCAGGAATCCGCAGTCTCCAGTCTTGTCTCCCCGCCCTCTCTGGGCAGAGTCTGCTAGCTTGTGGTGTTCTCATCTGGCTCTACCATCCTTTGGGACCACAAACCCATTCGTGTCGCTGAATAAAGCCGTGGATTCTTGGGGGTGGGAGGAGGGAAAATGCACAAACATTGCGCCCGTTTCCACACACTTAAAAATGCGTAAATGGACCTTGGCCCACCCAGTAGACTCCAGATTGGGGGGAAAAAAAACCAACCCACATTAGTGTGCCATAGGGGCGATTTCACCACAGCCAACAAGTGTGACTTGAGGAATAATAACGGTGGGACCAGAGAGGGAAATCTGAATGGTATCCTGAAGTAGCTGACTTTGAGCTGAGACTTCCAAGTGACTAGGGGAAAGGACAATGCAGGCAAAGGGACTGTTACTCATCACCACCCATCTATCAGTTTGTCCTACTGTAGTGGCTTGCAGGTAGCTATGATGCTGGAAACTGTTCCACTGGTATTTCAAATATCTGCATGATCACCCATGGTAGATAGGTTTCAGGGGAACTGCCAGACTAAGACAGTAGGAAGAAAGACCTGGTGATCTACTTCCAAAAATTAGCCAATGAAAATTTCGTGGATCACAACAGCGTATTGCCCTATATAGTGCCGGAAGATGAGCCCCCTAGGTTGGAAGGCACTACACAGTGGCCACAACAATGGACTCAAACATGACAACTGTCACGCAGATGGCACAGGACAGGGCAATGTTTTGTTACGTTGTACACAGGGTCACCATGAGTTGCAGCTGACTCCATGGTGACTAACAACAACAGAGCTATTCAAACGGAATTAGGAGAACCAAAGTCATCCGAATCCCCTGGGGCAGGTCCAACATACAGATTCCTGAGCCCCACCCCAGCCGTAGGGAGTCACTTTACAATGGGATTCAGGAATTACCCCTCCCGTCCCCTACCCTCACCGCGGATAGACCTGAAGCATAAATAAATATGAGAATCTTTGCCCTAAATAACCCCTTCTGGCAGTTCCTCTATTTTCAATCTTCAAATCAGACCTCTAGGCCTAACCTAGGCGAACGGGGAGACGGGAATAAAAACTTACAGAACACGGACACTCCTACTGTTTACCCGGTTGGCACTGTGATCGACGCTTATATTCCTTTTCAAACACCCATTATTATCCTCGTTGTACAGGCTAAGAGAGGTTAAGTAACTTGGTAGAAGCTGAATTCTCACCCAGGTCTTTCGAGTTGGACCAACAGCATAGTTCAGTAGCTGAGCAGGGGCCTTCGGACCCTGGGCTACTCGGGTTGGAATCACAGCTGTACCCCATACTGTGTGCTGGGCTTTCCTTAAAACAGTGCAGGGCTCAGGGCCACCCAACAAGTACGGGGCCATCTAAGACAACTGCCACAGTGTCACCATTTTTCATAGGCCCCCTGAGACAGCACTGAAGACAGAAATTTCTAAACTGAAATTTACTGATGCTCAGAAATGAGAAGTAAGTCACAAGCCTCCATGGTCCCCTGCCCCCCAAGCATAGGGCTCAGGGTGTGTGACCTCAGGCAAGTTCCAGAAACTCTCTGAACCTCAGTTCCTCAGTAGTGTTGTTGTTAGGTGTTGTCGAATCGGTTCCGACTCATAGCGACCCTATGTGCAACAGAATGGAACACTGCCCAGTCCTGTGCCACCCTCACAATCATTGCTATGTTTGAGCCCATTGTTGCAGCCACTGTGTCAATCCATCTCATTGAGGGTCTCCTTTTTCACTGATCCGCTGCTTTACTGAGTATGATGTCCTTCTCTAGGGATTGGTCCCTCCGGATAACATGTCCAAAGTATGTGAGACGAAGCCTCAGCCATCCTTGCTTCCAAGGAGCACTGCGGCTGTACTTCTTCCAAGACAGACTTGTTCCTTATTCTGGCAGTCCATGGTATGTTTAATATTCTTCACCAACACCATAATTCAAAGGCGTCAATTCTTCTTCTTTGGTCTTCCTTATTCATTGTCCACCTTTTGAATGCATATGAGGTGATTGAAAATATCATGGCTTCGGTCAGGTGCACCTTAGTACTCAAAGTGACATCTTTGCTTTAAACACTTTAAAGAGGTCTTTTGCAGCAGATTTGCCCAATGCAAAGGTCGTTTGATTTCCTGACTGCTGTTTCCATGGGCGTTGATTGTGGATCCAAACAAAACGAAATGCCTGACAACTTCAGTCGTTTCTCCTTTTATCATGACGTTGCTCATTGGTCCAGTTGTGAGGATTTTTGTTTTCTTTATGTTGGGTTGTAATCCACACTGAGGGCTGCAGTCTTTCATCTTCATCAGAAGGTGCTTCGAGTCCTTTTCACTTTCAGCGAGCAAGTTTGTGTCATCTGCGTATCACAGATTGTCAATGCATCTTCCTCCAGTCCTGATGCCTCGTTGTTCGTATAGTCCAGTTTTTTGAATTATTTCTTCAGCATACAGATTGAATAGATGTGGTGAAAGGCTACAACCCTGACACACACTTTTCCTGATTTTAAACCATGCAGCATCTCCTTGTTCTGTTTGAACAGCTGCCTCTTGGTTCTATGTACAGGTTCCACATGAGCACAATTAAGTGTTCTAGAATTCCCATTCTTCCCAATGTTATCCAAAATTTGTTATGATCCACACTGTCAGATGCTTTGCATAGTCAGTAAAACACAGGTAGACATCTTTCTGGTATCCTCTGCTTTCAGCCAAGATACATCTGACATCAGCAATGATATCCCCCATTTCTTGTCCTCTTCTGAATCCAGCTTGAATTTCACGCAGTTCCCTATCGATGTACTGCTGCAATCATTTTTGAATTATCTTCAGCAAAAAACTGGCCAGTGAAAACCTTCTGAATAGCAGCAGAACACTGTCTGATATAGTGCTGGAAGATGAGCCCCTCAGGTTGGAAGGCACTCAAAATTTGACTGAGGAAGAGTTGCCTCCTCAAAGTAGAGTCGACCTTAATGATGTGGATGGAGTAGTATTCAAGACCTTCGTTTGCTGATGTGGCGTGACTCAAAATGAGAAGAAACAGTTGCAAACACTCATTAATAATCGGAACGTGGAATGTCCGAAGTACGATTCCAGGAAAATTGGAAGTTGTCAAAAATTAAATGGAATGCATAAAGATCGATATCCTAGGCATTAGTGAGCTGAAATGGATGGGTATTGGCCATTCTGAATCAGACAATCATTGGTCTACTATGCTAGGAATGACAAATTGAAGAGGAATAGCATTGCACTCATCATCAAAAAGAACATTTCAAGATCTATCCTGAAGGACAACACTGTCAGTGATAGGATAATATCCATACACCTCCATGGGAGACCAGTTAATACAACTATTATTCAAATTTACGAACCAACCACTAAGGCCAAAGCTGAGGAAATTCATAATTTTCACCAACTTCTGCAGTCTGAAATTGATCAAACATGGAATCAAGGTGCATTGATAATTACTGGTGATTGGAATGTGAAAGTTGGAAACAAAGAACAATTGGTTGTTGGAAAATATGGCCTTGGTGATAGAAACAATACCAGAGATCGCATGATAGAATTTCGCAAGACCAACTACATCTTCACTGCAAATACCTTTTTACAACAATATAAATGGTGACTATACATGTGGACCTCATTG